TTCTTTATCAACTCCAACATCCTGCCTTAGATTATAATCTCAGATAGTATCCTTCCATAAGTAATATAGGATTGAATCCGTGTTCTTGATATTTCAATGGAGTGTTTCAGATTATTAAATATGGTTTTTGGGAAGGTTGATCTTGAAGTGATGTATCAAGAGGAAAACAAAATTTTTGTCATCATGAGACATAGTGCTTCTTGTTGTGGCTTAAGAACGAAGGTTGGAAAGGGAGAACCTGAACCAATTCTTGGCTGAAGGAAGAAGGGTTCCAGGATTAGTTGGTTCATATGGTACTGAATTGTCATGAAGAAGCCTAAACCTTTCAATAAAAGTAAGGTCGGATTGATAATCATCAATGGTGATTCCAGGTGAGACACACCTATTGACTCTTACAATAGAAGAGATGGTGACAACAATGGGAAGTCTGGAGATTTCAGACATAATAGTGTTGCCGTCATCACTAATTTTGGCATACTTCCAGAATTCCTTCACAAGGACAGAGAAGATGGAACCTCTAAGCAGAGTAAAGTAGCTTGTCCAAGATTGAAGTTGCATATTTCTTATTAGGTCCAATCCATGGTGTTTGAGTCTGGGAAGATTGGGTCTTTTTTCTTGAATGATTTCAAGAGTTTCCTCATTGCCATGAAAAGTTATAGCAGACATTGTTAAATGAGGTGAAGGAAGATTTAAAGAGTTTTCTATTTGAACTGAGGATGATGAATGGTGAAGAGGGGACATCAACTATTTATAGAGACTGATAGTAAACCTAGGTCTGACATCTACTAGATAGGCTATGATTATCTTAGTGAAGACTAGAGAACCTAGATATATTGGGAAAGACAAAGAGTAATTAATCTTATTTATTAAAGGGATATTAAATGAAAAGAAGTTTAACAGTTACCATTTAATCTATGGGGAAAGTAACTGACACACGCCAAATATTTTAGACCTATTTCTCAGATATGTATAAGAGAATATATTATCTTGTTACTTGTCATTTCGTGATAGTGCATAATTAAAAAACAACAATTTACCATAAAATAAAGACTTCATTAATTAAGAAAATTCAACATATACAAATTTAAAAGTGAAGAATTAATCAGATGAAATGATTAAGCAATAAGAATAATCATACTTTTGAAGAGACAAGTCAAATTTTCCTAGCTAATGAAAATATCGCACTTAGATTTTAACAAGCAAACTTCAGGACATTTTTCTAGACCAACTTCTGCTAACATTTCTTTGAACATATCCATTATTCCCTCTTGGAAAATAATTCAAGACAAAACTCGTCCATAAGGAATGTAAGACTTTATGTGATTCCTGGACTCAGAAATATATTTCCAAAGACAGATGAAGATGGATTGTGGCAAGATTACATGAGTACCAGTCATCAGAAGATATATGAATGCTTGATCATCATACCTCAGAAGGTCTTGATTATCCCCTCTGGAAAGAAAGTTAGACAACACAAGCTTAAACCACGCTTTAGGAATGCGTGAAATTATTCAACCAAACTCAAATCAAGTTTTGATTCTTCATCAAGTGCTGATAGAAACCAGGTTCTGAGATGAAGACCAGGTGTTCTAGTCAGACTCTGATGAGTTTCTATAGGGAAGTGTTACTTCTCTATTCTATGTTCTGATACTCAAAATTTATTTTGTGAGTCTTGGGCTCTGTAGGAGACTCTGAACAAGCTTAAATGAATTTTTGGGTTTAAAAGATTCAAGGGGGGCTGTGAGCTTAACTCTGAATTTTTGGGTTTAAAAGATTCAAGGGGGGCTGTGAGCTTAACTCTGAATTTTTAGGTTACGGTGATTACCCTGTATAAATTATTCTATCAAAATACAAGGTTTTGTCATCATCAAAAAGGGGGAGATTGTAAGAACAAGAAGTGTTTCTACATCTGGCCTTGAGATTTTGATGATAACTTTACATATTATCTTAGAGAACAATTGTATACACTAATAGTTTCGTCTAGTGTGTAGATGCTGCTATAATATTCTGACTCTCATACAAGGGGTGTGACGTCATTAGGTTCTGGACATACAGCCTGGAAGAAAACATATGGTTACATGTTTCGTTGAAGTCAAGGTTTTGAACTTATCTTCTGCAATGTGTCTTAGGAACGTTAGTACACGAATTTTTTATTGTGAATTTATGGTTTAGATTTAGAGTCCTTCTAAATATTTATTTCTGTGTTAGAAGTTCTGAAGATTATAAATACGAGGTTCTGCTAAATAAGTTCTAATGATCTGAAAAAAAGCAAGTTCTTACATCCAAGTGTTGAAGACTCTGAAGACAAGGTTCTGTGTGACAAGTTATGAAGACTCTAAGACTTAGATTCTAAGGCTTAAGAAATATTCTTCTACAACAAGCTTCAAAGCTCAACATTCAAATATCTGAAGCCTCTAAAGATAAGAAGAAAAGTTCAAATGGTTAACGTATGATATTGTGAAAAAGGTATATAAAGTGTATGTGACCTCTATCCTCTAGGGTGACATAAGGACAATCCTTTATACTTTATTGACTACCACTCTCATTGTGAATGTTGGGAATAAACGATTGGATTTACAACTATCTTTCTTTACTTAAAGAATCTTTGTTTACAAGCTTAATATAAAAATATTATTCAGAGAAAAAGGTGGAAAGCTATCATTGAATAGTGATAAGATACATAAATATTATTTTATACTGTCTAAACTCTTACACCTTATTCTATCCGTTGGGAACTAACCGTTGGTGCAAGAAAAGTTTGTTCTATCTTCACAACGTCTCTCTATGTCAACGGCTATAAAAGAAGATCAAAGCTTCTAAGATAAATTGCTGGAAGCCGGTTACTGAATACCGTCTGCTATGGGCCATCAAGCTTTATCTTGTGGAAGGAAAGTAGTGAATTTTAAAGATGTTAAATCTGAAATACTATACATACGGAATACCACTAAAAGAAGAGAGGAAAGAAATAAAGAAGATTTCAATAAGATGTCATTCAACTATCATCATATGCATCTTGGATGAAACAGAAGAAACAAGGAGTTGCTTCTCGTAGCTTGCTCAAAGAAGAAGAAAACTACAAGATATTATTCAACTTTCAATTATATACATCTTGGTAGATCTTAGAAGAAGTAAGGAGTTGTTGCTCGTAGCTTGCTCAACAAGAATATGAAGAAGAACACTATAAGATGTTGCTCAAACTTCTGATCATATACATCTTTGTAGAACATTGTAATGAACACTAGAGTTGATGATCGTATAGTGTTTCTGTTCAGATCTCTTCATGTAAATTGTTTTAACACTTGAGTTGTTGCTCGTAGAAGTGTTAAACAATATGTGCTTAAATACTTGTGTAATCTGCTTAAAAGAAGTAATCATGTAAACACAAGAGCACCATCAATTGTTGTTGATAGATTCCTTGGGAGGCTTGGTGAAAATTGAATCTCAAGAATATAATGGTTGCTTGTCATTATGGGAAATCCTGATAGGAGATTCTACGGGATCAGATTTTGTTGGATCAATGGTAGTCACATCTCAAAGGGGACCGAGTGAAGGTCAAACTCTTGTAAGATCACTGATGGATATCATTGCAAGGAAATCCTAGTAGGAGATCTTGAGGGATCAGATTCTATTGGGTCAATGAACGTTATATCTTGTTGGATCACTGAATGCGTCATTGTGTGTTAGACACTGGCGGTTGCCCATGCAAGTGTAATAAGTTTGGTTATAGGGGATTAAGTCCTTGGATAAGGTGAAATCATCCTTGCGAGGGTGGACAGAAGTAGCCTAGTTAACGGAAAACCTGGATAAAATACTTGTGTCCTTTTATTTTCATTGTCTTTATAACTATTATCATTTGAGTGCTAAGAATTTCTAAAAGAGAATATTTTCTATGAACACAATTCAAACGCCCTATTTCTTGTGTTCTCTCTACCTTCAGGATCTCCTTGCCTCACTCCTATAAAGCAAAAAAAAAATCCTATAATTTTTCTATTTATCATGATTAATAGTTTAGCTAGGTGTAGAATGGTAATTATCAAATCAAAAGACTTTTGATTAAAACCAAATTTAGCAAGAGCTTTAATAATGTATTGTCAATCTAAAGTATCAAAGACTTTTTTGTTGTCTATTTTTTAAGTTATATTATCTCCAAAGAATTTTTTGTCGAACATATTGGTGGCTTCTAAAGTAATCCCAATAAACTAATAAATGTATTTGTCACTAATGAATCCTCTTTGGTGTTTTAAAATAATTTTAGGAGTTAAGTTTTCCAACTTGTTTGCAATAATGTTAGTGAAGATTTTGAATTGAAAATTTATAAGTACAAAAGGTGTATACTGCTCTATAGAATCTACTTCATAGTATTTAGTTATCAAAGTCACATTGATTGAATTGAGATTAGGAAGGATTCAACCTTATTCAAAGAATTGATTATAAGAAAATAATTGATTCACTGAATCAATCACATCACTCCCTACTATATTGCAATAGGCTTAGAAAAAACATCTCCAATTCCATCAAGGCCAGAAGCATAATTATCACTGATATTGTACACTACATTCTTAATTTCCTCTGACAGAGTCATTTTAGCAAAATATTCATTATCTACCTGAGTTATAAGTTGTGAGATAGTTCTTTTCACGAGATCAATATAACTGCAATTACTTTATGAGCTAAATAGAATTTTGTAGAAGCTAATAACATGATTATTTAATTCAATGTCCTCCTCTAAAAAAATATTGTCATGTCTCATTCTAGTGATTTTATTACTAGCATATCTTAATTTGACTATGCTATGAAAAACTTTGTATTCTTATCTCCATCTTTAAACCACTTATTTCTTACATGTTCACTTTTTTAGGTTCATTTGACAAACGTGTCCAAGAAACATCTTATTGATTACTAACCATGCGAGCATGGCCTAGAAACATCCAAAGAACAAACAAGTTCATAAGGATTCAACAAAATGCCAACAAAATATGTGAATAAACAATTCAATTGAACTATATAATTGGAGTAATCAGAGGCTTATTTGAAAATAAGGCTTCAAAATTCTGCTCCACAACGTTGCTGATACCATTGAAAGACTCTAAAGTTACATGTGGTGAAAGAACAACATTATCCAAAAAAAAGAACTGTTTAGGAACATGAGGTTCATTCTCAAACACATCCAAACCAGCTCCTCCAATCTCACCTTCAATCAAACACCTTAACAATTCCTTTTCATCAATGAGACCACCTCTTCCAACATTCACTATGATTCCTCCTTTTCCCAATGCCAACATGACTTCTTTGTTCACAACGTGTCTTGTTTGGTCATTTAGTGCACAACAGAGAATAAGTACATTGGTGTTAGTTGCAAGCTCTAAGACAGTTGAATAGAAAGGGTATGAAACTAATGGTTTTTTGTTCTTAGAGTTGTATGATATCTTGCAGCTGAATGCTTCCAGCCTCTTTGCTACTTCTGAGCCAATTTTTCCCATACCAACAATTCCAATCTTTTTTCCTGTCAACTGAAACACAGTTCGCATGTTTGTTATCAAAACCAGTATAGCAACCACATCCGTATGGACCGAAATCGCAAAAGTCTTTACCATGAATGAAACTGTTTAAATACTGAAAATCGCCATGAATGGAAGCTAACATTTTATAAAATATCATCGACCTAAAAGACATCTGATACAAATTATTTTCTTCATAAATATAAATTAAAAAAAATAACTTATGAAATTGCAGACGTTAGAACCAAGTGGAAACTCGCAAGAGGAAGGTTGAAGCAGTCTTCTCAAGAACCGATCGGCGGGGGAAAGTTTCCTGCTGACGTCAATCAACAAACCCACAGCCATATCAGCAACATCGTCGGAAAAAAGATTTCCGATACCGGCGACCTGGATTTGCCGACGGCGGTACTCAGAGAGATCAATGTGATCAGTACCAGCGCTAGAACAGATGAGACGGAGGGAGGGGAGAAGTTGGAGGAGGTCGGGAGTGACGGTGTAGACATGGCTACAGACTATGGCGACGATGGAGGAGGCTTGGTGAGGATTGGTGGCTATGAATTGGTGGAGAGAGGGTAGGCAACCGGGGTTTAAGATATGGAAGTTTTGTGATGGTTTGGGTTGGAGAATGGAGGAGAATTCTGGTGGAACGTGATGGAATACTTTTGGGAGGTTGTTCTTGTTGTTTTCAGATTCTTCACTGATGATGCTATCGCTATTGTTTTTATCTGCCATTGGAGTGGGTAAAAATAAATTCTTCGAGTCAATTAATGTCACTGATGAGAATATATACATTGAATAATAGACTAAACTAAAATGTCTCGCCAGAGAGACTTATAGTCTCATCAGTCAGACTATATACAATTCCGTCCGAAATACTTAGATTTTTCAAACAAAATTAAATCTTCGTCTAAGAGATTTAGTGTCTCCTCGGGCAAGACAAAACTCCAGGGTCGCGCCTAAGATGTGCGACAGAGATCCAGCCTGAGAGACATAAGAATAAGTCTGGTCTGAGGGATTGATAGAAATTCACCTAAGTAGATAAAATGCCTCGTTAGAGGGACATATAGTCTCACCAATCGTGCTATATACAATTCCGTCTGGAAGACTTAGATTTTCTAGGCAAAACTAAATCCTCGCTTGAGATACTTAGTGTCTCCTTGACTGGGACGAAACTCAAGGCTCACGCCTAAGAGGTGCGACAAAGATCCAATTTGAGATACTTAAAAAAAATTCCTTAGGGCTCAATGGAATTTCGCCAAAGTAGGTAAAACATCTTGCCTGAGGGACTTATAGTCTCATAAGTTGGGCTATATACAATTCTGTCTAGAAGACTTAGATTCTCTGGGAAAAATTAAATCCTCATGTGAGGGAGTTTTTGTCTCATCTGGAGGGACAAAAATCAAGAGTCACGTCTAAAAGGTGCCACTGAGATTCATCCTGAGAGACTTGAAAACAAGTCATTGCTTGATCCATCAATGTGTTGATGGTGACAACTTTGAGAAAGTTGGTGATTATGTGTCGGCAAAAGAAGCGTGGAAAATCTTAGAAAAGGCATATGCACGGGTTGATAAGGCAAAGTTGGTGATGTTACAAACTCACAAACGTCAATTTAAATTGATTCAAATGGATAAGAAGGAGACAATCAACGATTATGTAACGCGAATTACGCTATTGGTGTATCAAATTAAGTCTTGTGGAGAGGTTGTTTTAGACCAGAATGTTGTGTCAAAGATCTTGTGTTCTATGACAGCGAGATTTGACAACATCATAGTGGTGATTAAAGAGTCGAAGGATCTTCCGACATTGAGAAAAGATGAGCTTCAAAGATCTATTGAGGCTCATGAGAAAAGGATGGACGAGAGGAGTAACGACAAGGAAAAGGCAAAGATCACTTTGCAAGCACGGTTCAATGAGAAGAGCAAGAAGTCGAAAGGAAAATGGCCCGTGAAGAGTAAAGGGAATTTTCAGAATTTTGGTGAAAAAGAGTCCCAAAATTCAAAGAGTCACTACAACAAATAACGCTTTTCATGACGAAGCTTTCACAACGTACAAAACAAAACCGCGGGTACATGTGAACGAAGCATATTTTTTTTAAAAATAATAACAATAAGTCTGTTACCTCGGATATTTATAAAACCGACATAAATATATGCTCAGGGTTTGAGGTTCGATTCCCAGCTCCTGCTATTTAATGTTTTATATGGAACCAAAAATAAGCCTTTATTTTAAAGATTTTACATCGGATATGTTACCTCCATTTTTAGTAAATCCGAGATAAAAACTCCCTAATTTTTCATTTTTGTTTGCAACCAAAAATGCGTCTTTATTTTGTATAGATTTTACATCGAATATGCTACCCCGGTTTTAAGTAAAACCGAGATAAATACACTTTACAATTTTTATCCCCTCAGTGTCTCTTTCATTTTCTTTTCGAACCCTAGCGAAAGAACACTTCTTCTCCAGCCAACGAAAGAACACTTCTTCTTCAGCCAACGGAAGAACACTTCTTCTCCAAGGAGCTATAGGGAACGAAAAAACTCTCTCCCTATTATTCTCTGGCATGTTATTATTGTTATTCTCCATTACTGTTGTTCTTGTTGTTGTTCATTGTTGTTGTTGCGAATAATTATTGTGGATTGTTTCGTTTTGGTTTTATTCAAATTATGTAGCATATAACCATAAAGTGTACATCATACTAAGAGTTAAATTGAATAAAAATTAAGTTGAATAAAACTTTCATTAGATAATCCTTACAAAAAGGCTCCATCATACTGATAATCATATTTAAATCTTCTGGCTGAGAGAAAGTTTGACCAAGTATAATCTGCTTCATCCTCATCATCAGAATCGATGATGACTGACCTTTTCACCTTTCTTCGTCTTCTTAATTTCCTCTTCTTGTGAGCTCTCATAAGTCTTAAAAGTGTTGTTGCACAAGAGCGGCTTTTTTCCACTTCTTGATTATGAGTAGGGTTTTGCACAGGAATAACCTCTACAATCATAACAACATTGTTGAGAGTAATCATTTTGATTCTTCTTCTTCTCTAATTTCTTTGGATGAAGTTCTTTTGGTGTTTTGGTTCAAAGAGGAATTCCACATTTATATAGTTTCTTCGGATTCTTCTTCTTCTCTGATCATTGAAAGTCTAAAAGCCAAAAGATTTCATGCGTGTTAATTTTGATCATTATTGATTCTTTAATTCTATATGCTTTATATTCTTGGAAGTTGGAAAGATCTATACGTTTTCCAATTTCTTTTTCACTTCTTTGATATCCCTTCTTACACATAGTTTGATGTAATAATGTGTACTATTTTTATTTTATTTTCAGAAGCTTTATGTGATTATGGATCGTAGTTGGATGTAAGCCAGTGAATTAAGTAGCGAGTATGAGAATAGATTGTTACAATTTCTTGATTTTGCGGAAAAAACCTTCCTGATAACAATGAGATTCTTTTGGTGTCCTTGTATGAAATGCTATAATACGAAAAAAAATCCAAGGGATGTTATATTAAATCATTGTGGTTGTGATGGAATTGTTAAAAATTACACGAAATGAGTATGACATGGTGAAGAGACAAAAAGAGACCTTTGTCACAAACAATTGAAAATGATGAATGTATGACTGATAAAGTAGAAGAAATCATTCGTGATATTGGAGTTGATGCTTTCAAGAAATCTAGTATGGTAGATACTTTGCGAAGAGACATGGAAGATTCGTTGTATCAGATATGTAAGGGTTTTACAAGATTGTCACTTTTCTTAAGACTATTTAATCTTAAGGCAAGAGGTGGGTGGACGGATAAAAGTTTCACTGAATTGCTTGAATTGATGAAAAGAAATGCTTCCTGAAGGTAACAAATTTCCAAACCGTACTTATGAGGCCAAGAAGATATTATGTCCAATGGGTTTGGACTATGTCAAACACATTCTTTCCGTAGTGATTGCATCTTATATAGAAAAGAGTTTGAAAACTTGAACGAGTGCCTGAGGTGTTAAGTGTCGCGCTACAAACAGAAGGACAATGGTGTTGATGACGATGATGGTGCAACTAGCAAGGGTGTTCATGTCAAGGTGATGTGGTACCTACCGATAATTCCATGGTTCAAGATATTGTTTGCTAATGTTAGTGATGAAAATAATACTATATGGCATGCAGATGAAAGAGTGTGTGATGGAAAAATTCGACATGTAGTTGATCCATTGCAATGGAAGAAAATTGATTCTTTGTTTCAAGATTTTGCCCTAGAATCGAGGAACCTTAGGCCTGGACTTGCCACCGACGAAATGAACCATTTGGTATTTAGAGTACTGACCATATTCTTGTACCCCAAAAATTTCCCTCTCATTTTACTCAAAAAAAAAAATACTCCTAGGGTTCTCAAATGCTCAAGGTTGACCAAGAATTGATCAGACACATTCTCCTCCTAAGCAATGAACTTCCAACTAGGGTTTCACTTTTCACAAGGAATTTTGGATTTTAAAGGTATCAAGTGGTCTCCATGGTTCCTTACATGTCTTCAATAATGCTCATGTCAAGTTTCATGCCTTGCATCACAAGTTTGCTCAGTCAATTGATCAGATGACTGAAAATCAACTATATTAGGTCAAAAGTCAATTGTGGTCAATATATAGTCAAACTTCAAGATTTTTGGTCAACATAAATATTTTGAAGTGACATTAATCATTTTATTAAGTCTTGATCATGATTCCTTAAGGAAAGCTCTCAAATCATCAAAAGTCAAAAGTTGCTAAATTAAGGTTTTCTTAAGAGAAGTCAACTGAACTTTGACAGGGCATAACATTCACATTCTTCATCCATTTTCCCCAACCAAAGCTAATTTTAAAGGGAATCCAATCCTCTACAACTTTGTTTTTATTCCAAAGTCCAAAAAATGCATCATTGGAAAGATATGAGCCAATACATTACAAGTCCTTTTAAAAGTCAACAAAAAGACACTTTTTGTCAAGGAAAATTACATCAAGATAAAATCTCCAAATGCAAAATTTATTAAAAGAGATATTGTATAGGACAACTTGAGCTTTTCAAAAAGTCCAAGATCATCTTCAAAAGATGAAAATTTAGAAAGTTATAGATTGCACAAGTTGGACAAATTTGTGAAAATGCATGAAGTCAACTTTGAGTAAAATCACATTTTTGAGTTGATGGACCTGATTTGTTCAGGTTCAAACATGTTTATGACATAACCAATGACCTCTAAATTTATACATTCACTATTATGATTTTTATTTTTATTTATTTGAATTATTGTGATACGGTGGGAAGAACTGGCTGTTTTTGGAATGCTGGTTCGCGTTTTGCGTTTGTTTTCGCAAAATGTCGCGATAAGCAAGAGTCGCCACCAACTTTTATTTTATCCAACAGGGAAAGGAAAAAAGCACAGAAAAATTCCTTTTTTGAGATATTTCTGAGTACGAGGGGTAGATTATAGAAAGGGAAGGTATTAGCACCCTTTCTATCCGTAGTTATCTATGGGCTCTTAGGTACTTGCTCATCATTTTCAAAATTGTTTTCTTTGTGTTTGTGGGTTTTGAAAAGTTTTTGTTTTGACTTCGATTTAACTCTTGCTTCTGTCTTCAAGAGTGTAATGAAGTGTTTTTGAAAACTTGTTTGTAAAAGAGTGAAAGTGTGAAAAAGTTTTGTTTTGGATGAGCAAGTATCTAAGAACTAATCTACCTACTCGAAAAAGGAATCGTTCCATGTTTGTTTCC